GCATCGGGCTCCCTGCTCGGCAGGGAGTCTGCTTCTCCCTCTGACCCTAACCCCTCTCATGTGCTCTCTCTCATTCTCTCTCTCTGAAATAAATAAATAAAATCTTTAAAAAAATAAAAATAAAAATAAAAAAATAAAAAACACAGTGTATTTAGGGAACAGGATGGAGGCTGGCAAAGCCCTGACAAGAAAGCGAGAAATTTAATATGCATTCCAGGCCTTTCCTGAGCCCTGCACTCAGCACCTTAAAGCTGTGATCAGACCAGGGTGGCCAAGTCTTCATTTTCAAGTTTGGAGAAATTCTCTCAACCCGGTAGAAAGGTGTGATGCCGAATGCTTAATCCGTGGGTAAGCTGTCACATTATACACTGGAAATCTCACCCTCCCTCCCGCCCAGGTTATCTGCACACAAGCAGACCCCCTTCTTTCAGCCGATAAAAGAGCAAGGACTTCACCTCCGCCATGCCTGCCCGCCATTCACCTGTGGCTCTCTTAGCTCCCCAGACAGAAGGACCGCTGAGGCGTTCGGGGGCGGGGAGGGGGGGGCTGGCTAAAAGTGGCCACGCTTCCTCTGCCCTCTTTGGCATTACGTGCAACATGACTTCAAGGTATATCCTGAACAATGAAAAGTAGGGGCGCCTGGGTGGCTCAGTCGTTAAGCGTCTGCCTTCGGCTCAGGTTATGATCCCAGGGTCCTGGGATTGAGCCCCATGGCGGGCTTTCTGCTCAGCAGGGAGCCTGCTTCTCCCCCTGCTTGTGCTCTCTTTCTCTCTGACAAATAAATAAAATCCTAGGGAAAAAAAACAACAACGAAAAGTAGGCGTGGCTGCACAAAGATAAGGGACTGGCCAGGCTGTGCTTCTGGCCACATTCTGAATGATGGCCATCTAGCTGTGTCTGCTCCTGGATTGTCTCCTCCCCCCACATTTCTAATTCCCACCCACCATCCAAGGCCCCATACACACTGCACAGTCTCCATGATGCTGGGCAGACACTTCAAACCAGCAGGCGGAGTTGCAGGAGTCCTGGAGCCTAGAACCTGCCATCAAATGCCACTTTCGAAGAAGACTCGTTTCCTCACCACCGGTCTTTCCCCTTAAGGGCTAAAGCTGAAGGTCTAACATATAAAATGAGCTGAGGTGAAATGCTTGTCATAGTAAAGTGTGAATTTAACGATAGGCTTCATTGGAATAATAACCACAAATTAGCTTTTTGCTATGTCTTAAAATAATCGAGAGGTTATTGTTTGCCTGGAGAACCTAGTCTCCATATCCATCTGGCCAACTCTGATGGTCACTCGTAGTCGGAGCGTGCAGCCTGACCTGCGATGCCCGGACACCCTGATGCCTTCCCTCCTGGCAGCAGGAAGCCAGCCTTGACTGTTAATTAGAACAAATTCTCTGAGGTCAGTGTGCACAGAACTTTGTCTGGGTAGGGAAAACCTGTCCCCTCTGTCCAGGAACCTTATTACTTATTAGACTCTCAGTCTCAGTGTCTGTGTAAGACAAAGAACCTGCTGGGAAGTCCACTTTGCAACTAAAGAAAAAATAGCCTTTGATCAGACCATTATACTTCCCAAACTTCTTGTCACCTTTTTCTCTCTCAAGCAAAACCAGAACCTAGTGAGGAGTTAAGGGGGACATGAACAGGTTTTGACAAGGAAGTGAGGAATTTAGTTTTGGATGTGTCCTACCCATACATCAGCTCAAAATATTCAAAGTAAACTTGCCCTCTCTGTGCCCCATTAATGGCTTCACCAACTCACCTAGCCATCCAGCTAGAAAGCTTTGCGCCACTGCACACCTTTCTTGTCTGCACGTCCCACATGTGACACAGTCTAGCTCGTCCTGTGCTAAAATCCGTCTATCAGTGAACCATCTTCCACTCCCACTTCCCCACACTCCCAGGCCCTCGTCCCTTTGAGTTCGCCCAAAACATATGCTCCTAACTGGTTTCCCTGCCTCCCGCCTCTTCCCTCTTCGATCCCTCCTTCCCAATATTGCTCAGGTCAAATCTAGCCATTTCCATTTTCTTGCCAAACAAAACTTTTGTGAACAAATAAGAGTAGGATTAAGAGCTAATTGTGAGTGTTTCATACATGTCAGGAACTGCACTAAAGAGCTTCCATTTATTATCTAATGTAATCCTCATGTTCCATTTTACAGAAGAGAACACAAGAGAAGGAAGGAAGTTCGCCTAAGTCGTAGAACTAAGATTCACACTCAGGCTTGTCTCTCCAAGGTCTGTGCTCCTACCCACATGCTAAACGTCCCCCCAGAAGAAAATGAAGATCAAACTGCTGGCAGTACCTGGCCCAGACTTACCCCTAAAGCCTCCTCTGGGAACACTGCACTCCAGCTACAGCCTGACTCTGAACACCGCTGGTCTTCAGCTCTCATCACTTAATAGGACGAACCAGCATCACCCTGACCCACCAGGGCCCATTCAGACACTCTCTTTCCCATGGTACTGCTCTCAATCCCTTCCAGCCCAAAGTGGCCCCCACAGTAGTATCTTGATTCACTGAGGACACCACTTATTGTAGGTCACACTCTTTTTCATTTATTACATAAATATTTACTGATCATCTACTACGTATCAGCCACTGTGCTAAGGCAATGAATAAGCATGGTCTCTTATTCATCTTTGAATAGTTGCATCTAATAAAATATTGAGTAAATAACAAGTTCTTAGCGTTCTGATGCATGAAGAACTTTAGAATTATTTGAAACTCTCAAGATAACTGAAATATTCTCTAATCATCGATATGGTTCAAAAGGAGTTGAAATGGGAGTTGTCTGGCTTTCGCTGTATTCCTTGATGACTTCCGTTGGTCTGTTTGCAATCTGTCCTAGAATTCTAAACTGTACCTCCGGCATATGCCCACACAGACTCAAGCAAAGATGAGTATTTTTAATGCCCTATTTTTCCCGTGTTGTAATACATCCTCTACGTAAAGTGACAGGCAGTCATTCCACAAGTAGCTTCCCTCCCCCTTGGTCTGTATGGTAAGCCAATGTCCATCCCAAACAAGTAAATAGAACACCAGCCCAGACAGAAAATGACCCGCTTGGGGGCGGGGGGGTGACTGAGCTGGTAGCAGAATGGGGAGGAGGGTGCCCGACCTTTGGGCTTCGGGTCTGCTTCTCAGCCACGTGTCTGAAACTGGGGACAGATTGTCAAAGTGTTGTAGTGGACAGCAGGCGCTAGCCATGAAGTCGGGGAGCAGAGGACAAGCCACCACTGATTCTCTGTGCTTTTTAAAAGGGTTAGAATACCTGTCGTCTCTCCTATGGAAAGAATCAGTCAAGTTGCACTTGGAAAATAATCGAAACTCCTTGGGAAGAAGATATGGCATGAACACAAAGCAAACGAGGTGGCTGGGCTTTACGGATTTACTGAATGACTTCTGTGATATCTGCTCTTACTTTATAGCTTTATTCTCCTAACTATAGGGGAAGAGTTATTTAAAGCTATAAAATTAAGGATTTTTTTCACCTAATACCAAAAACAGTGTGAGGGGAAAAATTAATTTTCAACCCTAAGGGAAATTTTTCACAGAAAGGGAAAAGGAAGGCCAAATGGCAAAGTAATCCACTCAAAATCATGACCATACACTATGAGTAATTCACACAGATGGCCAGTTATACAGGTGAATTCTAGCTCCAAGTTCCTGTATAATTTAAGCTCCCTGAAAATTTTCTGAACAGTTTAGGTGACTGAGACTAAACTATACATGAATCACTAGTCTTCTCCACCCCGATACTTTATCTCAACAATAATGTGAAGGCATTAGTCTTCAGCCTTGAGAAGAGTCAATCCACAGTCAAGACAAACCATCTTACCTGTTTTGGACATGAAGCTTCACCATCCCACTCTTTCTCCTCAACAAACCGGAACTGTGAGAAGGAGTCCCCTAGGGATAGAGAAAACATAATTTTATGCAAGAGCCAAAGGAAAACAGTGAGTTCTTTAAATTTCCCCTTGGGAATAAAAGTGCCATTTCTGAAGAGCTAACTGTCCAGAATTCAGTGGTAGCATTCAATAGACGTTCCTGGGTTCCACTTCTTTACACAGCAATCTGGGCCTGGTGGGCACCTGAAAATACTGCTGGCTTCACACGATTCTCCATAAGCCACCATCTACGTGCTTCTGGAAAATAACAAAACAGGCCAGCAGGCATGGCCATCAACTCATATTTAGCACATTTTTATCTCATCTGCTTAATGTATGCAAAGAAATGAGTATTTATGATGTGGGGAGTGGGCACAGCCGAAAAGGCAGAAGAACAGAACTGAAGGAAAGGAGTTCTAAGCTGACCCACAATATGACAGGCTTAAACTATCTCTTTGAGGTGAGATTATCAGCCTCAAACATCACTCCAAAAATCACCTGGTTAGAATATCAAATGCAAAATAAAACTCAAAGAATGTGCATGAGATTAGTTCGTGTGAATCATGGTGCACTGCTCTGAGCTCTTGGAATAAAGGAAAATGAACCTATAAGATCAGCATAAACAAGCATGAAAGATGATCCTGGACAGCAAGCTTTGACACAAGGCTTATTTTGTAAATGCACACTTATTTGGTTATTTGTCTTAAGAACACCTAATTTATAAACAAAGAATTATTTCTCTGCTCACTTCATGATTCCCAAAATGTGGTCCCACCTCAATAAACCCCGTTTACTTCCTATTACTTCAGACTTTCTGCTTGAGTCAGCCTCCTATCACATTCCAAACATACTTCCTATTCCATCCTAGCCTCTTTCTTTTTCAGTCCTTCCCCCTTGTCTGGAATACCCACACACATCTATGCATTCATATTGTATTTATACTCCGAGACTCGGTTCAGGGCCACTTTCTCTTTCGTGATACCTCTCAGGTGACTTAACCATCGAATCCATTCTTCTAAATTAAAAGAGGGAAAAAGAAGTGAAGAATTCAAAATTAAAGAGACAAAGATAAAATTAGAATCTATACCACTCCCCTCATTTCCAAAACCAATGGAGCACAATATGAGCATTTAGCAAGATCAAATTCAAGGCAAAAAGGACCAAGAACACTATCAGGAGAAGGAGTAAAATTAACACTCTTAGTCATTGGGGAATCAATTTGATCCCTCAAAAAATTATGACATAAAGGATCTGAATAATATAATTGAAAAGGCCTTATATGTATATAGAACATATAAGTATATATGTGACTTTATCTGTGTATTTTCTTTATAAATATCTGTGCAATATTAGTTTTTAAAAGAGCTATAAAAAAGCCACAAAAAAACTCAATAAATCCTAAAATGTAGCAGTCATACAAACTATATTTGCTGGTGATAAACATTTATACCATATATAAGCAAAGGGTTAATATCTCCTACATACAAAGAGCTTCTGCAAATCAACCAGAACTAAACCACCCAATAGAGAAAGAGGAAAAGGAGTGAAAATAAGAAATACCATTTGCTATATATGAAATAAATCTATGTATGAAATAAATGATAAATGAATAAATTAAAAATCAATCTGGTATATTTTTAAAACTTGGCCAAATACCTGAATATCTCATTCAGTGTTATTTTTAGCATTCCTGAACATTTTCCCCAACATGACGCTTGAACTCATGACCCCAAGAACAAGACCTAAGTTGAGATCAAGAGTTGGACGCTTACCCTACTGAGCCACGCAGGGGCCCCTATGGCATTCCTGAACTTCTATATTATAAATGATGCTATGACTGCAGAGACAACTATAATATATAATCAGCGTAAGATAACAGTAATGCAAACAAGGGATGCTACATGTATATATTTTTAATATTTGAATATTCACTTTCAAATACAGGTAAGATTCCAACAATGGCTAAACAGCTTGTTGCTGAGAACAACTTAGGAACACTAGGCCGAACAGAGCTACCAGGTGTGAAGACGAGTGAGAAAAGTCCCAGAAAGAAGAGAAGCTAATAACATTTAGAACTGCTTTTTCCCTTTGAGGCATTTGTTCATTCCCAAAGGCGGTACTGAGAAACTGAAGATCTGAGCATAAAGTAACAACCAAGGAGGCTGTGAAGATGCAGAAGCTTCTGCTAGTTCTATGGCATGGGGCAGTCAAAAATTGCCATTCAGGGCCCAAGGATGAGGAAAATGGAGGCTTTCAGGTGGGACCCCTGATGATTCCATCTTAGAAGTGGGGACCAAGTAGGAATAAGCCAGCCCTCATACAGCCTGAGGCAAAGCTGTAAATCATCTTAACCTCTGATTTCTGCCCACAAGAAGCAAAAGTATATCCTTTTTGGAGGAAAAGGACATTATCAATAGCCTAAAATTATCTCTAGTATTTTTTACAACCAGTGTCCAAAATTCATTAAAAATCATCAGGAGATGAGACCAAGGTAATAGAAAACTAAGGGAAGGGTGGGGGAAAAAAACTAGAAAAAGATCCACAGAGATTAAGAGAGTAATCAGACATGGCTTTTGTTAATTGAGCAATGTAAAAATTTCAAGAATAGAAAAGTCTGTAAAATCACAATGACATCCACGAAGTCCTCTCTGATTCATACAAAACATACACATAAACAATACAAAGAAGAAAATGACTGAGGAAAATGAGATACCAAAAACATGTTTTGTTTACAGTAATCAAACTTCAAAACACATTTTTAAAATTCTAATAAATAAATCATATAGAGGCCAACTTGGAAAAATAAGCTTGTTAAAATTTTAGACGGCTACGGAACGCCAAGCTCTCTAATGCTGTCACTGAAGATGAGAGAGTATTCAGACTTGTCCAAATGATGAATTCCAGCACCAAAAGTGCTTCTGGGAAACATGTTAGCAAAATTCTCCTTCCTGAATTATACTGCAACATGCACAAAAACAATGGTGCCCCTCCTCTATCCTGTGCGTCAGACGTCTGAACACGCAGACCTCCTTTAAATACAACAGCACAGTACGTTAACAATGCATGCAATCCTGCTCCTGCTTTACTCTCCTGCTCAAAGAGTTCCCGGTCTCTCACCCGAACATGGTGAGTCCACATGAAGACGTATAGAAACAAGGGAGCAGAGACAGCTGACTGTGGTTGACAATGAAACAAACATGGGGAAGGGTGTGTTAGGAATCACACTCACCAGCTCTGTGTTCATAAGGCAATTATGGCACAGTGTAATGAACAGAACGAGAAAGCATATAAGGAGTACTGTGCATTCTTCCTTCTTCTTCAGCCAAAGACTAACTGCATGAGTTACAAGAGGTTGTGGAACTGCCTTGTATATTCACACAATATCCTCAAACAAGATGGAGGACGAGCTAGTTCCTGTTATATAGGCTGCTTGAACAGCAACAGCAACAAAAATCCCATGATAGTCTACTCTGCAGGTAAGAATACCAAAACAGCAACCCTGCTAAATCTAATGATTGCTTATTAAGGTAATTTATTCACTAAAATTTGCTAAATAAGGGGGGGGATTTAAACAAAACTGGTTAAGACTTTGAGAGTTCACATTTTTCTTACATATAAAAAGTCTCCTATCCTTCTATTCCAGAAACAATGCTGAAGTTGGTGTGCATGAATGAAAGCCAAGATACAAGTGATACTGAAACGATTCTGTTACACCTTGAAAGTCAATGACATGACTGCCATAACTTCAGACCCAAAATTGGTGACAGAATTTTTTTTTCAATCAACTAATTGTGTGAGGCAGCAGAAATGTTAGAAAGTGAGATATATGCGTTGGCAGCAATCTTTAGTATGCTTCTGAAAATATTTAGAAAGGACGTTTCAAGCAGTGCACAATGCTTCCGTTTCTGGGATTCCTTCAATCCAACTCACGATCATCACGTAAATCTCCAAGGCCAGTCACTAATGAGGAGAGAAGTCTTCACCTAGTCTACAACCTAGTCTTCACCTAGTTATTACTGGAGATGGCAAGGTTAATTGCCAAGGAACAACTCTGAAACTACCAGCAGTACCAAACTATACGGTAGCGTAGTACAGTGACCGCAGAATCAATCCAACAGCCGGCGGTAGGGGGAAAGGAAAATGCCTGTATACTGTCAGAATTAAAGCTGACTACTAAAAGCTTGCATTAAAAAATTTCAAGTTTTGGGCGCCTGGGTGGCTCAGTCGGTTGGGCGACTGCCTTCGGCTCAGGTCATGAACCTGGAGTCACAGGATCGAGTCCCGCATCGGGCTCCCTGCT